GCTTCCAACCTAATGGCTGTATGCGACCTTGACAATCCCAAGCTACCAGCAGATTAATAGAAAAATTAGGTATATGCAACTTCCACAAGCAAAAGCGTCCAAGTTGACGTTACCTTACCTCTTTGTACTTCACCTCTAAACATCGCAAGACCAATGAACTACCAGTTGTTTTAATCCACTTTGTGACAATACATATATTGCCAAATTCTCTAGGCCCATCCTCTGCCTGAAAGTAGTCTCCACATTTCATCATCTGCATAGAATTTCATTGTAAGTGGAGAAAAGGAAATAAAAAATTTCAGCAGGAAACATTTTATAATATAAACAGAAGAACTGGACAAAATAAATTGTTGCACATAAACATAAATGTACAGACACATATCAATTCTATACTAAAATTACAAGATAATTCAGAAATACACATTTTTCGCTTGATACAAGTTACATAACACTGAACATAAAGCACTCCAAACTGGCATCTTGAATTGGTTTCTTCAATGAGCACTTTAAAATGTTGGAACTGCTCTGTTATGCTAACCAACACCATGAAACTTTCTGTAATTGGAATAATTTCAGTAATTTGAAATGGCTGTTTCCAGTAACTCTGCTTTAAAGAAATCCCTTATTTTGTTAAGGACAAGATTCTTAGACAAAGTACCATATTGTTAAATCAAATGCTTCACAAACAACTGGCCATGGGTATGTTATCCATCTAAATTGATTTAGAGTGCAAAACATAGCACATACCCACAATTACATAGAAGAATATATAAACTTCTGATAACCGTAGTTATTGATATGTATTAAAGTTGTTCCCCTTGCCAATTGGAAAGGAGAAAATAATGTTAAAGAAGCAGCTACATATTTTAATTGATCCTGTCCTTCATTTCCAAAAATTTCAACAATCTCATTTGACAGGACTTCCAATTAGAAAAAAAAAATACAATTTTACAAAGCTTCCCATATTGTTTACTGCTGTGGACATCCCCTTAATATGAGACAGATAATTTTCCAACAGAAAAAATTGATTGTGAAGATGTCAACAACTAGGAAATGCAATCTTTGCCCTATTTTTTACTTCTGTTGTCTTCCACTATATAAGACGGATTATTTTTCAATCACAAAAAATTTATTCTTGAAGATGTCAACAACTGGGGAATGGTTTGTGCAACTTGATATAAATTTTAAGGGAACTTCACAGAATTTCAAACATAAGAGGAGATGTCTCTGAAAATTACAATAAACTTCAAGGGGTGAATGAATTTGCCCAAGCTTAAATTATTAAGAAACTACCAAGAAAACACTTCAAGTTGGACGTCAACTGTCACTCAGTCCAAGATCAACTACGATCTCTTTAAAAGAAAACAAAATGCAGTTTAGGTCACTATTCATGACAAAACAGTTTCAATCAAGTAAAAGCAAAAATCAGAGGCAATATACTTGAGAAAACGGGAAGATAAACAGAAAAGCTCAACTATAAATTGAAAATTTTACGCAAACAGAAAGTGAGATGGCCAATCAAAATTAAAAGCAATGAGTGTGTTTGGATACTAAAATTTTTCCAAATATATTAATATGCTTGCATGGCAAACATGTTTTTCAATTAAGTTTTTATCTTTCCAACCACCTTGTTACCTCACACACATCACTTTGCAAAAAGGGCTATCCAAATAATATTTAAAATGATCTCCTATCTAAACACACTCAAATTGTCTATGTCACAATTGCATTCATACATTAAAAAAATCCCTTTTAGCTTCTAACAATCCCTCTTAATTACATGACTTTTCTACATATTAATTCAAACTGCAAGCAACATGCTTATCTGTTGACAAAACATTCTTTTAGAAATTACATTTCCACCGACATTAACTCAAATATCATTGGCACTTCAGAGATGCAAATCAATGCATCTACAACAGACGAAGCACAAAACTTTTCTGGCATCCCAAAACAGGAAAACAGACAAAAAAAAAGAAAAGAAAAGAATGGAGAGTTATTTAATAATTTAACTCATATCACTTACAGGATGGTGAAAATATGACAGGAAAAAAATATTCCTTTTAGAATGAGTTGAATAAGAAGTAATCCATCTAGGCCAATACACAATAGTTTATCATGCTTGACCTTTCCTTTTCTAAGCATTTTGCAAATCCAGAAGTAGAGAAGACTCCACCTAGTCACGATGAAGATTTATAAGATACAGGAGTCTTCAAATGTTATAGGTGACAAGATCCACAGTACTTTAGACATGGTATTTGTTAATTACAAGCACATATTCTTGGGCATGCAATCCACAATGCTTATTTTGGTCTCTGTCAATTATGGACAATCAAATTGTTGTGCAGAAGTTGTATATTAGTCACCTGCAGTATGGATTTTTCCTCATTTCATGGGGAAAAAAAAAAGTTATATTCAGCTCATTTTGGTTTTCCTAAACCTAGCCTTTATTCTACTTCCCTTGCTATTATAATTTCTCTTCATAACCTACATCCTTTTTCCGTCTTGCAGAACTTCAACAACAACACTGTACCTATGTGGCACCAGAGCAAAATAAGGTCCAGCTTTTACTCACTTTTGATTCACACTCATGGCTCCTCAAAAACAGAGAAGGCCACAGAGGGTAAGGACAGTAAGCAAAAGCTACAGAATAAATGAAGGTACACGATATTTTTGTCAGTACAGAGCACAGATACATTTCTAGGTGTCTGGTTTGTAAATGCTTTAGGCACTAGAATATGAGTCAGTGTAGCAAATCCAGACATAGGTATTTGGGTTCAGAGATAATCATGGAAGAAACAGTTGAACTTACACAGGAAAATTCATAGGAAAGAACATGACATAAATATGTACAAGGAAAATTGATACAATTTACCTTGTACTCCAAACAGTTGAGTACCTTGTAATTGTCTACCAATCGTGTAAGCATAACTATCACAGGACAATGATTCTGGAGTATCATCTCCCAGAAATCTTCAAAGGTATGTGGTAAAGCACCTTGTGTTGCAATAAAGCGAGACACCTTGTCAGATGTCTACAATCAAAAGAAGCATTCATCAATCACCAAAAGAGGCTTGCAATAAATCAAGACACCTTGTCAGATGTCTACAACTAAAGAAGCTTCAAAACATTACTCCAGAATTTTTCACTAATAGTTTAAAGCAAATGTAACATGGTCAAAAAGGAAGTGACATGGCCACTACTTAGCACACCAAACAAATAGGACACACCTCAATGAAGCTTGCATTAATATATCCCCTAGCTGATGGTCTGTAATCCTTGCATGGGTTCAAAACAACCCTGTTACTGTCAACTGAAAGACGGATGATTAATGTGTTACTCCAAAGATAAAGATATGAATTGCAATGTAAAAAGAGACAAAATATAAATATAACCAACAGACATACATGGCAGGACGTCACTGTAACGATTTTTGTCACGGTTCACACTATCAAAAGCCACTGTGCATCTACTCATCATATCCGAACGGCTCATCCTTTTTGCCTAAAGTACAGGAACAGAGTAGATAACTGAGCTTGAATGCTTCAACCATGTAGTAGGAAAAAAAATCACAAGTAATCAGAGCTAATGGTGGCACACAGTTCCTTTTGATTGTGCTTCAGTTATACCACCACCAAAAAAACATAAAACCCCAAAAGTACAAAAAAATTGTCAATTTATTCATTTACTTCCCTGTTAAAGCAAATAGGGTTTCCAGAAGAAGGAATCGCCCAAGTGGTAAAGCAATTCTTTCCAATCAACATCCAGAGGATCAGAACCTCACCAATCTTTCAAAACCTATTTCTACTTTTCCAAGAATACATTGATATACTATGGATCCAGGGCCTACTACCAATTGCAGGAGGCAATTCAACAAATCAGCTAATGCAGGCACTAAATCAGTAAATTGCTATAATCAGTACAGTTCATCTACTGAACCTGTAACATTTTCAAATTTTCTCCAAATCTCAATATCCAATAAACGAAATCTAGAAGGGAAATCTCCACCATAAATCATTTCACAAAACTGCCTCGGCAATTGCTGAGCCACCCGCCCCCATGTTTCTTAACCGGCTGATCATGTCCCTTTTATCACATCTTGAATCCCAGCTGTTTTCACGTATATTTTCCATATAAACACATACGGTTAGACCATAGCTACCAGTAAACCCTAGAGAATCATTTTTTTCTCAGGAACGCCATCCAATCCCCTACCTCATTTTCCCCAAGTTCCCCAATCTGTAGCCCCCTTTACATAAAAACAATCCATAATAACAACAATAATTCCAAATAAATTATTCTATATGCCTTTTCCAAGAATCAAGCAATGAAAAGATAATCTGAAGCGAAAAAAAGAAAAATTATGCGTTACCTGCAAGGTGAGGAACTCCTGCCGTATCGTTTGAGGTGACTTGAAAAGCTTGTCCTTGAAAGATTGAAGAGCTTCGGAAGAGTAACGGAGTTCATCCGGAGAAAGAACAAACTTTGCCGGCTCCGAATCCGGTGAGAAGTCGAAGAAAGGTTTAGCAGCCAGGGAAGAAGAGGCAGAGGATGTAGAGATGGGTTTTCCAGTGGCGGCCATGGCAGCCGATCTCCGGCTGCAACACCTACCAGAACTCACGTTACCCGTGGCTCCCGAGGAAATTATGGTTTCTCCGGGAGCTGAACCTCCGGATTACCGGCGACTTAATGGATGACTTTGGCAACAACTCCTTACGGACTGTTTGGTACACCGTTTTAATACTAAATTAAAATAAGTAACGATGGTGTCGGATTAACTAATAAAAAGACTTACGGTCCGTTTGGTATGGTGTAAAAAATTTTCTTTAGGAAAATCTTTTCCAGGAAAATTGTTTGAGTAAGGGTCTGTTTGTTTGAAAACATTTTTCACATTTTCCATTTTTTGGTTGTCAATTAATTTGGGAAAATAATTTCTAAGGAAAATATTTTACTTCAAAAGGATGGAAAATAACTTACCTGGTCTACTTATTGAAGTTATTTTCCTTCAACCTAATTGAGCGTTCCCACAATTTAACGAAACCAATTAGAAAGACCGGCAATTAAAAGGACACAGAGTTGGAGCGATTCACAATGGGCTTTGGCTCCATCTCCGGCGACAAGCAATGACAAAGGCACCACGTCCGATGTTTCAGGTCAATTCTAGTGATATGCAAGTCTTTCCTTTTTTTTGAACTTTATGCTTAATTTGGTTCTCCAATTTGGGGTTTTAACGATTTCATGTGATAGGATTCAAGACAATTCAAGGTTTGAGGAAAATCCGATCCAATTTATTGTCATTAACTTAAGAAATTATGTGGAAATAAGAGGATTGCTTGTTGGAGTAAATTAGGAAGTTGCCTTAATCTTGAAACTGCTGGAGACAGTGCACTGACATGCTTCACAAGGTCATGGAGTCTGCAGTCCCTGTTGACAACAACTGGGTGATGAATGAGTTGTTTGGGACAGGTGAGACCTCCTCTTGATTTCAAGAACTTCAGATTATACTTTCATTTGCACTATCAATTTGAATCTATTTTACCAAGTTGATGTTTGAGAGATTCTAATTGGCGGCCATTTTTCCTCCAATTTTGTATATCTTTCGCTCTCATTTTAGCTCTAATCCAATTTTTCTCATATTTTTCTGTATAAGATTTTGCAACTTAGAAGTCATGCTTTACTTTGTATCAACTTTACCTAGGCATAAATAATGGCGCACTCAAATTTACCATTGCACAGGAAGCAGTATGAGGCCAATTTTGAGTATCCTGATGAATTTGAATGACAGCTACAGATGGATAATGGTTTTTTGGTCTGAGTGATGTCAATTCAACGCTTATTGTTCATTTTGTTTTAAAATTTCTAGTAACTGGCCATAGTTCACAGAGATTGAGGAATGACTCAAACAAGAATGGTAAAATCTTTCTTCATATAATTGTACAAAGTCATCGTTGTCTTATTACATGATGTGTCCAGTTTCAATAGTAGTAGTTCGTCCTATTAGTTGGATCATGTCATTAACAATTAGCATCTGATGGCCAAGCTTCCCGTAGTTCTGATGTCCATCCATGTATAACAGAGAAATGTAGGCTTATTTAATTTCGTTTTAATACAATAATCAACAAGTCATATATCATCTACAAGGCATCTGGCAGTATAATGATAAAAATGATGAGGATTAGATGATGAGAAATAGAGGAGTTTTGTGATTTGTATGCAACAGTTGTTGTACATCTTCCTAGCTTTTCATTTGCATGGAATTTTGTGGTGACTCTTAGGAAACTCAATTTACAATTACTGTTGGTATATATCTGTGACTTAGAACTTCTAATGCAGTTTTTCCTCTAAGTCATAGTGGTTAGTTTTAAAAAGGAGTTCATTCTAGACAAGCAACTAAAGGACTTAATATGAACACTTCTGTTCATCGTATCTTTGTTAAGGGATCTTAAATGCTGCAAATTATGCATTTTACTTCCATTGTAAAACTTTAATGCAGATTTTTAATAGATGAGATTCTTTTGACGAAAAAAGATGTTGTATGTAATCTAGTAAGAGCAATTCTAATGGTTTTCATGCTTATTGGATCATCTAATTCAGGGATCTACTAATGGCCATGTCATGGTAACATTATGATGTCATTTGATATTTTAGTTGATTGTTATTTGACAAGAACTTTCCTTACTATAGTTTGTCAGAGTAAACTCCAAAGTCCAGATACACTGGAAGGGAGCAGCTGAAATGGTTGACATGTTTAGCTGTTTGCACTCCATAGGCTAGGATAAGGACCAATAAGCTTGCGTTCATTAGTGGAAAACTGCTTAAGCAGAAACTATGACACAGTTGGAAGCTATTGGAGTCAAGAGACTACAAGTAAGTTACTTTACCATAACACGTGATGAAAGTCATTTTTCTTCTGCTTTCTTTAAAGGGTATTTACTTCAACAAGATAGCAACAGGGCAACCATACGACTACCTCTCTGATAGCAAATGTGGCAAGTAGGACGGAAGATTATCTAATATGGAGAAGGAATATCTTTGATCCTACAAAGAAACTGAATGACATAAAAATAGATATGACTTATTTGGAATGGTACAAGAAGGTGTGGATTGAGTAGGGAGGATACTATGATAGTTACAAACTTTGGCATTGGAAAACTAGGGATGAAATCAAAAGCAGACATGAAATCATGGAGCGCAAGAAAATTCTCACTCGATACTAGAAAGACATAGTTGATGAAGCAGAGCAAATGCCTCAAAAAGAATGGGTGGCTTTTCAGACTCGTTGTATTTATGCAAGAAGCAATAAGAATGGTTGAACCACTTGACAATAGATAGACAATAGATGGTTTGAGTAGGAGAAGAAAGGTGTTGCCCATATATTTACATTGAGTGGAAAAATCAATTTCCACTAGTATTGCTATTAAGGAAATTTTTTATTCATATATGCAATTTCCTAAGATTTTTATTAAAGCTAAACAATGGAATGAATTTTTCAATTCTCTATAAGAAGGAATGTGTGGTTAGAATTTGTAGAAACTAAAGGCAGAGGTAAGCAAGATCATATTCCAAAGTTGGAAAATATTTTCAAAAGTTAAACAAACACCAGAAAATGAAGTTAGAAAATATTTTCAATAGATTGACCAAACACTCGAAAATGATGAAAAAGAAATTATTTTCCTGGAAAAATACTTCCATGGAAAATATTTTCCCATGGAAAACATTTTACTCCCAACCAAACAGATCCTAAATCTTATATACACTGACAGTGTATATACTATCACGGTTGAATGCATGACACATATGTAAATTTTGGATTTCAAATTCAAATTCGAATTATGTGTCATGCATTCAATGGTAAAAGTATATACACTGTTGATGTATAGAAGATTATTTACTCTGGTCCTAATTTTCTATTGTTTTGTAAGCCATCGAAGAAGAATTCTCGATAGAAACTAAAGCCCATCACTGTTCCTTCAAGACATTTCGGTAGAAAGGATTTTTGCTGCTTGAAGGCTGACTCTCCTCTGGTGTATAATTCAATTGATATCAAAAAAAAATTCAAAAAGAAACAGACTTCCAACTCATAACCTTGCAATTGAAAGTGAAGATAATTTGTATATGTATTATCAGAAAAAGATTGTCAGTGACCAAAAAGTTGATAGACAATCAACAAGATAGTCAGCATCATGTTACAGTAGTTTTTTCTATGGTGTTTTCTTAACCAATGATCAATGATAGCCAGTAGGTTAGATTCTCCTCCTTTGCTATGTGGAGAGTAAAGAATTGGGCAAGAAGCCATGAAGTTTTAAGATGCGTTAAGAAAAGAGAGGTAGATGCGTGTTTATAGGAAATTAACTTTTTCAGTAGAAAAACTTCTTTCTACATGTTAAGCGAACCAAACAGCTAAAATTAAGGAAAATGTTTTCCAAAAAATATTTTCAGTCGAAATAAGCAGACCCTTAGTTCACTTTTTCCTCTTTAGGGGTTAAGAGTGAGGTATGTTGATATTCTATATAAGGTTAAAATTTTCTATACTTAAGCTATCGTGTACATATATTGGCTTCCTTCTACAGCTTATGAGGTCAAGATAAATGAACAGAAATTTACTTGAATCTTCCCATCGCCATTAGATGTTCCTTCATTTATTGTAAAATGTTATGAAACAATTAAAAGTGTGGATGTCCATTTGTATTCTCAAAAGGACTAATTTATAATTCATTGATCCCAAGGGGATTAATTTATAATTCATTGCTACATTATGTAAAGGAATTACAATGGATGAACGGTTTCAATTCATAAACCCATTCATATATTGGAAGAACCGTTTCATAGACTATTTATGTTCTTGTAGTAATGAGTGTTTAATAGAATTGATGTACCTTTAATTTTGTAGTACCTATATATAGAGGCACTTTGGCAAGAGAGTACTTTTGTATTAGTTGGAATAATAAGAAAATCATTCTCCATTTCTCTACTCATTTCCCTAATATTTTAATTCATATTATAATATTTCATTTTATTAATTTTATAACACGTTATCAGCACGAGTCTCTATGTTTTAGCAAAAAGGTAAAAACGGAGCCTCTACTTTAAGTAAAAGTGAAACACGAGATTCTGCTAAAATTCTGTTCATGATTTGTTTTTTGGGCAACTTCTGTCTACTTATTGAGATAAATATCTTACTCATAAATTTATTTTAATTTCTTATGGCTAACCTTACAAAACAAGAGTTCATATCTCTTGATATTTCTGAAAAAAATTATTTATCATGAGTATTGGATGTTGAAATTCATCTTGAGGCAATGGATCTCGGTAATACTATTGTTGAAAAGAATGAATCTTCAAACCAAGACCGTGTCAAGGTTATGATTTTCCTTCGTTATCATTTAGATAAAGAATTAAAAATAGAGTATCTTACTGTCAAAAATTCTCTTGTCCTTTGAAGAGATTTGAAAGAAAGATTCGACCACCTGAAATTAGTAGTTCTTCCAAAGGCCCAATATGATTGACTTCACTTACGGCTATAAGATTTTAAATCTGTTAATGAATATAATTCAGTCATGTTCAGAATTACTTCTCAATTATCATTATGTGGCGAAAAAATCACTGATAAAGATATGTTAGAGAAAACACTTTCTACTTTTCATGTCTCTAAATGCTCCTGCAGCAGCAATATCGAAAAAAAAGATTTAAAAAATATTCTGAACTTATTGCATGTCTTTTTTTGGCTGAACAAAATAATGAATTATTACTGAAAAATCATGAATCCCGATCAACTAGAGCAAGTCCATTCCCTGAAGCAAATGTGACTCAATTTCAAAATTCTAGTTAAAGTCTTGGACATGGCCGTAAAGGTGATCGTGGAGGAGGCCGTGGACGTGGCCGTGGATGTGATCGTAGTAAATTTGTGTGTCGTGAAAATTATAACCATGACAAACAATAAAATATTACCCAAAAGAGAAATAATAACTACGATTAGAAAAATGGAGAAAAGAAAGTTTATGAAGAAAAATGCTACCGGTGTGATATGGAAGGTCATTGGTCCCATACCTGTCGTACGACTGGGCATTTTGTGGACCTCTATAAAGCATTATTAAAAAAGAAAGACAAAAGTGTGAAGACAAATTTCATTGATCAAAAGAATAATTATGATGATGGTGATGATGCTGATATGACACACTTCGATGTAGCTGATTTTTTTGAGCATCCTGAAGATGTCAACAAATATCCTATGATTCTTTAGATATTTTTATGATATTTTATATCTTTTATGTAATTTTCTTTCTATTTAATATTTATTTTTGCATCTTTATTAATATTTATTTTTGTTTGAAAATTTCTTCCTGAAGAAGAAATCGATGTCAAATATTTGGAATTAAATAATAGTGATAATGATATTTGTCTTATTGATAGTGCTACTATACACACTATATTGAAAAATAAAAAATATTTTTCTTATTTGAAAATGGAAAAGACAAATATTAATACCATCAGTGGTAGTACAAAATTGATTGAAAGCTCCAGAAGAATAATCACAAGTATCATTTCTGGACAGAAATGAGTAGTAGAAAAATTACTCTCTTTTTCTTCTGGCCTATATTATGCACAATTAGTCCAGTTAAAATTTATCACCTAGTAGATCAGAAGTTTACTCATCCTAATAATTTTATGATTTAGCATGATTGTCTCGGACATCCTAGATCTATAATGATGAGACGAATAATCGAAAATTCACATGGTCATTCATTGAAAAATCAAAAGATATTAAAAACAAATGAATTCTCCTGTGTTGCTTGTTCTTAAGAAAAATTAATTATTAAACCATCATTAGTTAAAATTGGAACTGAATCTTCTATATTTCTAGAACGAATTCACGGTGATATATGTAGACCTGTAGATCTACCATGTGGACCATTTCGATATTTTATAATGCTTGTTGATGTATCAACTAGATGGTCACATGTGTGTTTATTATCTACTTGCAACCTGACGTTTGCGAAATTGCTTGCTCAAATAATTAAGTTGCGAACATAATTTTCAAATTATTCAATAAAAAAAAATTCGTCTAGATAATGTTGGTGAATGTTCGTTACATGCTTATGACGATTATTATATGTCCGTTGGAATAACTGTTGAACATCCTGTAACTTATGTTCACACACAAAATGGTCTAACCGAATCATTTATTAAACGGTTACAATTAATTACTAGACTATTGTTGATGAGGTCTAAACTTCCTTCATCTACTTGGGGACATGTTATATTACATGCAGCAACACTTGTGAGAATTAAGCCGACAAGTTATTCTACTTATTCTCTCATACAATTAACTTTTATTTATGAACCATATATTTCTTATTTACGAATATTTGGTTGTGCGGTTTATGTTCCAATTACACCACCCCAACGTCGTAAAATGGACCCCCAAAGAAGATTGGGGATATATGTCGGGTATGAACACCTTCAATTATCAAGTATATTGAACCATTGACAGGTGATTTATTTATTGTGAAATTTGCAAATTGTCATTTTGATAAATCACATTTTCTGACATTAGGAGGAGATAAAAATCAACCAAAAAAGGAAATTACTTGAAAAATATAATTGAATTTCCTCGATTCTCGTACTAAAGAATGTGAATTAGAAGTTCAAAGGATTATACATTTATAAAAAATTACAAATCAATTATCAGATGCATTTAATGACTCCAGAAGAGTTACTAAATCGCATATTTCTGCTGAAAATGTTCCGATTAAAATCAATATCCCTGAAGGATAAATTGCAAGTGCTAATGAGTCTAAAGCATGCCTGAAATGTGAGAGATCTCTTGATTTCAAAAATAAAAATTCTCAAAAGAAAAGAGGAGTAGGTGAATCAACAATTAATGACAAAAGTTAATCTACTCCTAAAGAACCAATTCTTGAAGAGAATGAAATTATAGAAAATTCAATAAATTATGTCACTTCAGGAAAAAGTTGAAATCGAAAAGAAATAATTATTGATAATATTTTTGCATATAATATAGCACTTGATATATGGCAGAGGATGAGGATTATGAGTCTAGATTGGTTGATGAATGTCGACGTAGAAATGATTGATCAAAGTGGAAAGATACGATCCAATCTGAATTGGATTCACTGGCTAAAAAAAAAGTTTTTAGACCCTGAGAATCCCCGAAAGATTTAACATGCTTGAAGCATGCAAATCAAATTTTAAAGATATTTATTCTATTAAATTATAAAAATCTTTGTATGGGCTCAAATAATTTGGACGTATATGATATAACCGCGTCAATAAATGTTTAATCAAAGAAGATTATACCAATGATCCAATATGTCCATGTGTTTTATCAAGAAAAATGGGTCAAATTTTGTGATAATTACTGTGTATGTTGATATCTAAATCTGATTGGAACTCTTGAAG